CGCGGCCGTCCATCATCAGGCCAGGGGTCAGGCAGGGGCCAGGCCTGTGCTCTCCCAGGCCCCGGTTTTCCTCAGCTGCGTGGTGAGCGTCCGACTCACACAAGCAGAGCCTGCGGCCCCTGCGCGAGCCGCCCCTCACCATGGCGTTCCGGTGCTGGGCCCGGGGCGCGTGTGCATGTGTGCGTGTGCGTGTGTGTGTGTCTGTGTGTGCATGCATGCACATATGTGGATTCTGGGAACCGGGGTGCAAGCTGCTGATGCTCGGTCCCGATGGGCGTGATGCGTGGAGGCCCCGCCCCTCTCGCTTCCAGACAACACGGGAGCCGTCAGTCCCTCCCGGACCCCGCCTGGCGAGGCGTGTGGCTCGTAGCCTCATCCGTGTGCACGTAAATGTCCACACCGTGTCATAACGAGTGACCACTAGGATGTTTAAGGGAAAACTGGCACCTTTTGCTAAAATCCTTATTTTCTAGAAAATATGTAGAATCGGTGCCCATGGTCCCTCATTGTCTGAATTGAGAAAGAAAATAATAGATTTAAATTTCTGAATAATACAGGTCATGGCTTCAGAGTGAGTAGAAAATAAGCCAGAACTTGTCGGGGCGTCTGCCTGGCTGGGAGGGGAGAGGCTGCGCCTTAGGGAGTGCGGGTGCCCTGCAGGGGCCGAGGGGCGGCCTCTCGGGAAACGCCTCTTCTCCCGCCAAGTGGGGTTCCCAGTGTCAGTGCTTCAGCCCCAGACGTGGGATCGGGACGTGGGATTCCCCGTCCGAGCCGAGCGTGGACGGCTGGGAAGTCACGGAGCCTCCAGCTCAGCGAGCTGATGGCCAGGCTCAGGGCCGCGTGTCATGTTTACATTTCCCGTGGGCCGTGCGGGCGAGCCCACAGCAGCGCCTGGAGAAGCCGCGGCTACAGAACTCGAGTCTCTTCCCGTCTGAAAATCACTGCCAGATGCTCCGGGAAAGTGGTTCCATTTAGGACGAAGTTTCACTTTTATCGTCGTCAGCAAAGCGCGGGCTTGATGTGGCGGCTTCTTCCCCGCGGTGGTTACCCGGAGGCTGTGGGGGCGGCCGCAGCCCTTCGGATGGGACTCGCTCTCGCCAGCCCTGGCGGTGGATCAGGGGGGAGGGTGTTGTCTTTTCAATGTTCAGCCGCCAGCATTCTGTGGGCTCCTTTCTGACAGCCCGACAGGCTGCTGTGCTGTGTCTGCACTTCTCGCCGCCTCCCGGCATAGGACGGGGGGAGGGGAGCCCTGGCTCCGGGTGTGGGAGCGGCACCCCGATGCGCTGCCCCAGGAGGCAGTGGGGCCCGGGGCTCCCGTTCAGGGGTCTCTCCCTAGTTTCAGGGCGGGGAGGGGGCAGTAGGGATTCCACGTGGGGCCACGTGGTCTCTGTCGCCACGGCTCCGCTCTGCCTGGGACTCAGAAGCAGCCACAGATGCTGCGTCAACCGACACGCGTGCCCGGGACCCTACAGCCCGCAGCTCACGCTCTGTCCACTGAGCCAAACGGGCCAGGACGCCATGAGCTATTCTTCGTCTTTTTGTTGATTTTACTTTTTCTCTAGCCGTTTAAAAAATGGTAAAACCGCTCTCAGGTCCCCGGCCACCCTCGGCCGCAGGGGGTGACCAGCCTTTTGAGTTGTAAACCTTCAGGACCTGTTTTCCTAAACTGTCCTTGACGGTCCATTGTGGATGTAGTGTCCACGTGTCCGTCCGAGGTCTGGGGGACCCTGTGTGCGTTTCGAAGGCAGAGAGCGTCTGAGCGCATGAGTGACGTCTATGAGATCGCCCCCGAGTGAAGACACGCTCCCCCTACATTATCCTAGAAACTACAGGCGTAAAACGAAATTCGTTAAGTGAATGTGCATGGCCTGGACTACTTAGAGGGGACCCACATCTATACCCTGTCATTGTGCTGGGCTCGAGTTTTTTATTTCAGAGAAGGAGAGCGAGATTGAGAGAGAGAGAGAGAGAGAGAGAGAGAGAGAGAGAGAGAGATCAGTGATGAGCGAGAATCATGGATCTGCTGCCTCCTGCACGCCCTGCACTGGGAATCCAGCCCACAACCCGGGCCTGTAGCCTGACCAGGAATCGAACCCTGAACTCACGGTTCATAGGTTGACGCTCAACCCCTGAGCCACACGGCCGGGCTGGGCTAGAATTTGAGCCCCGTGCGCCCGAGAGGGGACAGAGAGGAGAGTGAGCAATCCTTGGGCCGAGCGCCTCCAGCCCGGCTGGGCTCACCGTTCCCCACGGGTCAGCGTCCATCGGTGACGGGTGTAACACAAAGCCGAGGGCCGGGAGCCTAGAGGGGATGGGGCTGCGGCCAAGGAGGTTGCTGTGCAGCCGGGGTGGGGGTGGGGCGGGGAGCAGGGCTGGCGGCTGGGTCTCAGCCCTTCAAGGGCGCCCTGTCCGGTCCCAGCTCCCAGGCCAACCTCTCGAGAGCCTGCGTTTGGAATAAAAGGCCTCTGGTCCCTTCTCTCAGGCACACCTGGGCCTGGGCGCCCCCCCCGCCCCCCAGTGTCCCCAACCCAAGGGGAGATAAACGTCTCTCGTCCCGGCTGGAGTGGCTCAGTGGATAGAGCGCCGGCCTGCGGACTGAAAGGTCCCGGGTTCGATTCCCGGTCGGGACACAGGCCTGGGTTGCGAGCTCGATCCCCAGTGGGGGGCGTGCAGGAGGCGGCTGGTCCACGATTCTCTCTCATCACGGACGTGTCCCTCTCCCCCCTCCCTTCCTCTCTGACATCAATACAAATATCTTTAAAAACAACAGAAGTAACAGGCTCTGTCCTTCCCGCAGGAGTACCTGGACCTCAGCCAGCCCCTCGAGCAGTACTCGCCCAGCTACCCCGACACCAGGAGCTCCTGCTCGTCGGGGGACGACTCCGTCTTCTCCCCGGACCCCATGCCCTACGAGCCCTGCCTCCCGCAGTACCCGCCTGTCAACGGCAGCGTGGACACCTGAGCGGGCGTGTGTCCGCCCCCTCCCGGCAG